ATTTATTTATTTATTTATTTATTTATTTATTTATTTATTTATTTATTTATTTATTTATTTTATTTATTTTTATTGGTGCTTTTTATTCTTTTTTATTCTTTTTTTTTATTCCTCTTATTGTTCCTTTTCTCTTATTCTTTTTATTCTTTGCTGCTGCTGCTGCTGTTGCTGTTGCTGCTGCTGTTGCTGCTGCTGCTGCTGCTGCTGTTGTTGCTGCTGTTGTTGTGTATTCAGAGGCAATATTATTTTTATTAATATTATTATTAATAACAATAATAATAATAATATATTTAATAAATATATTTATATATAAATTAAATATTTCCTTAAGGAAATCTTTCTTTCTTATTGCTGATCTTATTACTGATGCATTACCTCCTGCATTAAGGGCAACATTATCTGTTACTCTTACTGCTGCTGCTGCTAGGTACCTTCCTCCTCCTCCTCCTGCTCCTTCTCCTGCTGCTGCTGCTGCTGCTGATGCTGATGCTGCTGCTGTTGTTGTTGTTGTTGTGCTGCTGCTGCTTTTGTGGTGCTGCTGCTGCTTTTATTGTTGTTGTTGGGCTGCTGTTGCTGTTATTGCTGCTGCTGCTGCTGCTGTTGCTGCTGTTGCTGCTGTTGCTGCACAATATCCCCTTTCCCTTCCCTTTTCTGTTCCCTAATCCCTTCTTCCTTTTATATATTCCTCCTATTACTCCATATGTTGCTGCTCCATGTGTTGCTGCTGCTGCTCTATCTGCTGCTGCTGCTGCTGCTGCTGCTGCTGCTGCTGTTGCTGCTGCTGCAGGCTGTATAATATGTATGGTATATATTCATTAAATGCTCATGAATTAAATAATTGTGGATTTATTCGTTGTATTTGTTTAGATAAGACAGGTACATTAACACAAGATGGTGTCTCTCTTCTTGGTTGTATTTGTGCATGCAATTGTACTACTACTACCAGCAGCAGCAACAGCAGCAACAACAGCAGCAACAGCAGCAACAGCAGCAATAGTAGTAATAGTAGTAATAGTAGTCATAGGAATAGGAGGGATACTTGTACAGGGGACGGGTTTAGTTCTTATACAGAGACACAACTTTTACTAAGAGATAGTGCTCCTGCTCCTCCTGCTGCTCCTGCTGCTGCTGCTGCTGCTGCTGCTGGTGGTGTTCCTCCAGCAGCAGCAGCAGCAGCAGGAGGTGTAGCAGCAAGAGAAGAAAGAGAAACACCAATAACAGCACATTTAAGTGATACATTATTACTTCCTCCTGCATTACAATCATGCAGCAGCAGCAGCAACTGCTGCTGCTGCTGCAGCTGCAGGCAGCATTTGCTGCAGTGTATGTCTTGCTGCTCCTCTCTTGCTAATATTAAGGGAAAAGTTGCAGGAGATCCATTAGAGGCATGTCTTCTTGCTGCCTCCGGTTGGCGTCTTGTTGATGGTGCTGCAGCAGCAGCAGCAGCAGCAGCAGCAGCAGCAGCAACAGCAACAGCAGCAGTAGGCCGTGCTGGTGGTGGTGATAGTTCTACTGCAGCAGCAGCTTCTGGGGATGTACCGGTAGCTGTAGGTGGCAGCAGCAGCAACAGCAGCAACAGCAGTGCACAATCAGCAGCAGCAGCAGCAGCAGCAGCAGCAGATGAAGCTTATATTGCGCAGCAATATAAGCTGCTGCAGCAGCAACTAGGAGAAGCAGCAGCAGCAGCAGCAACAGCAAGAGGAGCATCTCTCTTCTTCCCTAAGACACAACCAAATAATAATGGCAAACGTGATGTGGTAATTCTGCTGCTGTTGCTGCTGCTGCTGCTGTTGCTGCTGCTGCTGCTGTTGCTGCTGCTGCTGCTGTTGCTGCTGCTGCTGCTGCTGCTGCTGCATCTCTTTCGGGTATCAATATCTTTTTTTGTATTTTTTATTTAATGATTATATTTTATCATTTATTATTTTTATTTATTTATTTATATTTATTTATTTATTTATTTATTTATTTATTTATTTATTTATTTATATATATAGAGTATATGGGTCCTCCGTCGTTACGGGTTTACATCCATAAAAATGCGAATGTCCGTCATCGCCCTCATAAACCCTCAACAATCTCTTGTTGTAAACCCTAAACCCTAAACCCTAAACCCTAAACCCTAAATAGTAAATAATAAAAATAATAAATAATAAATAATAAATAATAAATAATAAATAATAAACAGTAAATAGTAGATAATAACAAGGATATCCTTGTTATTCTTTTATCGTAAACCCTAAACCCTAAACCCTAGCCATCGTTGTAAACCCTAAACCCTAAACCCTAAATAGATCCTATAGCCTGCTAGTTGCCTAGGGAACTAACGTCAGTATAACTGTTATATCTGCATTAGTTGCTTCCCTTATTCCTGGTCTTGTTGCTGTTGCTGCTGCTGCTGCTGCTGCTGCTGCTGCTGCTGCAGGTATACACAAAAGGGAGCCCAGAGAGTTTGCTTCCTCTTTGTGATCCAAGGACGATCCCACCAGACACAGAAAAAAAA